ATACTGCAGGGGCGTATACTGTGACCCTAGATATTCTTCTTGCCCGTGTAGGCGATGTTGAAGAACCTTGTCTACCTGACCCTAATCAACGGGAAAATATCGCAGAGACGATTCCCCCAAGTCGGAGAAATATGGTGGAGATATCGACACGGTTGACGGGTAAGATTATTATATTGAAATATCGTCCTGTTTATAGGTTCTTTTGCTAGGTTTGTAAGCACTTTCTTCTGACAAAAAAAGTGAAATTGTTGAAATCTGTAGAGAATCAGAAAGTTGACTAGGTATAATAATTTTGTCACTTACTTGATTTCATACTTTGTGTTGTTGTTTTGTTTTGTTCTACTCGGTGTTTTAAGTTATGAAATCATGTGTTACCTCCTTAGTTATTTTTAGTCTTGTATTCCACGCCATTATGTCACGATCTTGTGACGTTGTTCCTGCGCGTGTCTATCTGCGGCAATGGTAGGGTGCTGCAGTAGTACATGTACCCTGTACTCGCACCAAACAAAATATGCCTATTCTGTGTTGGAACAACCCTCCTATGAGTGTCATTTATGCAAAATTTATTAAATTGTTTAAACGTCACGAGGATCACGGGAATGGGGGACATATGGGTGGGGGAAACGGAACCTTGGTATGAAGATGAGATAGGTTGAAAGCCGCAGCTACAAAACCAGATGTGTTTTAAATTTAAAATATTTTGTTCCAACAGTTTTTAACCTGACCGACATTTGTATTGTCAACAGTCTGGCGCATAATGTTCGTCTGGAATTCTTTGTTTACATTGTTTTTAGTTTGTTTATTTTTTAGGTTCTAGAATATGAAATTGTTGGTCCCTTATTGTAAAGTGACAAGTTTTGAAATGACTGCTGCGTGTGGAATGGGGTATTTTCTAACATTTGTTACAAGAATTAATCCCCGTGAAGAGTCGGATTAGAATTGATCTTCAGCATCCCTCGTTGTAAGGAGCGAATAGTGTTGATCAATACCTGTAAGGTTACACAAGATTGTCCGGTCCATGATTGGAATATTTACACACCCACTCCATTTATCCTGAATGTTGTGGCGTTAAACAACAAACAAACCTGTCCGCACCATTGATCTTTTTAATCAGCACTCCGCGTATAAGATATTTCCATGTATTTATAGAAACTTGTGTAAGTGTCGGTCTCACATCACTGAACGGCTAAATGAATCAATATGAGGCACAGTGAAAGTATATACCTTGCTGCCAGTTTTACAAACCCCAATGAGGCAAATAAATATTGCCTCTGTCACGCCATCGGCTTGTGAATAATTGTCACAACGGACACTTCCTTTTATTAACAGTATATTGTCATCTTTATTGAAAGGTGAAGGGGTGGTCCACTATCAAATGCGTTTGCTTGTTTCATCCGGGAATACTCGAGTTCGATTCCCAACATGAGTACAGCCCACGGGTCTACCTGTGTCCTTGGTTCTAAGCAATAATCACAGGCTTCACATTGTGCACGTGACTCTAAGTTCGCTCCTGGAACCATATTCCAAGATTTTTATGAAACAAACATCTGTAGAAAGTATATACGCAGAAGAAGCCGCGTAAACCTAAACTCACTCAGTCACGTGGAAGATGTTTCCAAATTTGACCAGTTAGTCATCAGATTTATGCCGATGAAATATTTTGACTTTTCTCCGTTTGTTCAGATGATTAACTGACGTTCCTTTGCATTGTGTTTGACGAGTGCCACAGGCGCGACAGGATACCACACCTTCTCGCAACCCCCTACGGCAATAGTGATTGCTAAACACACCTTCACGATATAGTCCGAGTCATATAGTTCCATTTATAAGAGATTTTTGGTATTATTGGAAGGGCTTTGACCCTTGTTACTTCCATAAGACTTTTAACGAAGCTAAGTCAGAGGTAATTTTAACAAACTTCAAGCTATTCCATACGTTGTGCTTACTCCAGCCATGTGGGCAAGCATAGCAGCAGAGGGCTGTATTACGGTTACGGCTCACTTTCTTGACAATCAAGTACTTGAATCGTGTGTGCTCCCCACACGGAGTGTAGAGGAACGCCATACCGGCGAGAATACTGGACAGATTTATGTCCAGGAATAATTTGGAATTGCTAAAGTAGTCCGCCTAACTACTCGCAATGCGAGCAATATGTCTCTGGCGGCAAAGACAGCAGGGTATCCTCATGTGAGATGTTTCACCCACACTCTTCAACTAGCAGATGGTGTGAAACTTCATCCTATTGAGAATATGCTCATGTTTGCACGTCAGCGTAGCGTTTTTCTCAAAGTCAACTCTGTCAACTCAACATCAAGCAAAACTTGGTAAAGCTAAAAACATGTCATTACCGACATGGTGACTTGTTGGAATTCTGCCTATTTCTTGTTGGAGCGTCTTCCCGAACTCCACACATACATAGTCGCTGTGTTCCATGATCCGCTGCTGAAGAAACACAAGGGACTGAATCTAAAAGATACACATTGAGTTTGCTGGAGTACCTTGTGGTGGCTCTTAAGCCACTAGTATCCGCCACAGAAGTCCTTTGCAGCGAGCACAGGGCGGTGGGGTAGCCTAGTGATTACAGCCTTGGCTAGTCACGCCGAAGATCCGGGATCGATTCCCCGCATGGGTATAATGTGTGAAGCCCATTTCTGGTGTCCCCATCTTCAGGTCTGTACCCCCTTCAGTTTGCCCAAGTCAACAAGCACCTGAATGTGTCAGACTTGGACACGAATACCATTGCAGACATGAAGACAACCATCGCAAAGGAGCTCGAAAGGCGTCTCCTCAAAGACGAATTTTGGAAGAGGCCTCAACAGCCCTGGACTCTTGTTACAAACATCGGCCGTTCCTGAAAGAAGATCAAAAAGTGACATCGAAAACCATATTATCGAGCTGATTGAACGTAGCCATACTCCTACAGACGAAACCCCAGTTTCTCCTGTGAAGGAGGAACAAGAACCATATTCGCCGGCAACAACACCCAAACAGCTTAGCAAAATGTTCAAATTTTGCGAGAATGACAATGCTGTATCATTTCCCTTGGATGACATCATTGAAATCGATGATGACGAGAACCTTCACAAAGATGCCAGAGCTGAGTATCATGATTATCTGTTTGCCTCTAACAAGCTGTCTGGGTCGTCAATGCTAAAAGCATCAACCCTTGGCTGGTGGCGGGAAAATGCCAACTTATTTCCACGAATTGCAACAATTGGCTCAAGAACATCTTTACATAGCCGGTACAAGTGAATCATCCGAGAGAGATTTCTCTACCACCGGTCTCACGATCACCAAACAGCGTGCATCAAGTGATTCCGGCACAGCAGATGCAACTTTCATCCTGAATAAAAACCTGAGAAAGCCTCGTCCGCGTCAACGTCGTCGTGTCCACCAGTGCCAGCAGTCGTGAAGGTGGAGCCGGTTGATCCCATTCCACAGACAGAGACGAGTGAGTCTGGTGAAACTAACATCATTCATCCTCCACTTTCTGATCTCACACATACGTGTTGAAGTTTTCAAATTCAGAAGCTATTTGCTTATTGACGTTCGAGTTTAAGTGTTTCAAAGTTTATAGTTTCATTTTTGATACAGCTTGAAGATATTCAATGAGCTTTAATAATATTAGTGACAATCTTCCAGTCTACCAGTTGAGACGTCGAGTCGAGTCTGACCCCTCGAGTGCTCGAGTCCAAGAGAATGGACACGTTGAAGCCCTACTTCCAAAGCAGGCCAAGGTTGGTTATCCAAGGTGAAAGTATTCTCTCCTTCAAGCGCATGTCTTGTAATGTGAGATGATAGGAGTATGCGCTTGACCCTTAAAGACGTTCTAGAACTTTCCACTCTATGCTGTCTTGGAAGCCTCCAGATTGCTCCTGAGTCAAAAAGCATCTCAAAATACAACCTCCAGACCACTGCACTCGACTGAATCTTAACAGAAACATTGCAATACAATTACAATAGTTTTACTTTGAATTACGCTGCCACATAACAAACCCGGGATTTGGACACTTTTTGAATTAGCCTGAAGAACGAATTATGAAAATGGAGCCAAGTACGCCTACAAGCGCCACAGAGTCGAATATCAAAAGTGACATTTCCATTATTTTCTACTTGACACGGAAAGGAACTGACCACGACAAGCGTCTAATGTCAAATGCAATTATAACCTTCACCCGAAGGTCGCTCGCGACCCAGCCTTGACAAAGGCGCCGCAATACTCTGTGCTGTAACAGGCCTGCCAAACTCCTAATGGATGATTGCCCAAATGTTGGCTCATGGTTCGCAAGCATCCGTTGGTTAACCGATCTGGTAAACAAAGACCTGCATCACTTGAACTTTCATCCATTTTCACCCACCTGTGACGGGGTGTAAAAACCTTGGAGTCAACTTTTGTGCAGACTCTTTCAGTGTTGTCACAAACACCTAGTGTACAGTGCACAACCCTGTGCACTTAACCCACGAATCCGTTGGTATATGACCAGATGGTGGCCACATGAATACGTGCAAACACCTAGTTGCGGGTACAGCAACGTGCAGTGAACTTGGACAAAATACTCTGACTATGTGTCTCAGTCCACCCAGCTGTGAATGGGTACCTCGCAAGGCTGGGAATGCCGCAATAACTCGATGCGCTGCAAGAGTTGTATGATCCCCAGGGAGTTCAGATTGATAGTAAGATGTGCCGTTGAGATTGACAACCAGTGATCGAGGGATATGTGCGCTATATAAATATCCTACAATATAATATGATAATAACTTTCATCCCATGCATCACTTGGTTTTTCATCCCCTGCATCACTTGGTCTTTCATCCCATGCATCACTTGGTCTTTCATCCCATGCATCACTTGGTCTTTCATCCCCTGCATCACTTGGTCTTTCATCCCATGCATCACTTGAACTTTCATCCCATGCATCACTTGGTCTTTCATCCCCTGCATCACTTGGTCTTTCATCCCATGCATCACTTGAACTTTCATCTCCTGCATCACTTGAACCTTAATCCCCTGCACCACTTGAACTTTCATCCCCTGCACCACTTGGTCTTTCATCCCATGCATCACTTGAACTTTCATCCCCTGCACCACTTGAACTTTCATCCCATGCATCACTTGGTCTTTCATCCCCTGCATCACTTGGTCTTTCATCCCATGCATCACTTGGTCTTTCATCCCATGCATCACTTGAACTTTCATCCCCTGCATCACTTGATCTTTCATCCCATGCATCACTTGAACTTTCATCCCCTGCACCACTTGAACTTTCATCCCATGCATCACTTGGTCTTTCATCCCCTGCATCACTTGAACTTTCATCCCCTGCATCACTTGGTCTTTCATCCCCTGCACCACTTGAACTTTCATCCCATGCATCACTTGGTCTTCCATCCCATGCATCACTTGGTCTTTCATCCCATGCATCACTTGAACTTTCATCCCCTGCACCACTTGAACTTTCATCCCCTGCACCACTTGAACTTTCATCCCCTGCACCACTTGAACTTTCATCCCCTGCACCACTTGGTCTTTCATCCCATGCATCACTTGAACTTTCATCCCCTGCACCACTTGAACTTTCATCCCCTGCATCACTTGGTCTTTCATCCCCTGCATCACTTGAACTTTCATCCCCTGCATCACTTGATCTTTCATCCCATGCATCACTTGAACTTTCACCCCATGCATCACTTGAACTTTCATCCTCTTTATTGCTACACTTCCTTCCAACATTAAGCTGACAAGTCGCAACATAACGCCATACATGTACTGTTGATGAAACTCGACAAGAGAGTGGTATACCTTTAGGCGGCTTTTAGAAATATCCCAGCAATATCATGTCGGGATACACCAGAAATGGGCATCACACATTGTACCCATGTTGGGAAGCGAACCCGAGTCTTCGGTGTGACGAGCGAACGTTTTAACCACTAGGCTACCCCACTGCCTCTTAACTCGATGACCAACAGGCAAGTATCCCGGGCTGGTTAACGCGTTTTGGGGGATATTGTCTCTTCAAACACAAAAGTCCATCAGTGGGTCCACAACACTTTATTCGTCAGCTAAGTAAGTAATTACATGATAGTGCAGCAACGGCCAGGCAGCATCACAGAGGCGATCGTCAGCCCACCTCCTAGCCGCTGTCCGAGGGTCAAGTCCCGTTCCATTAAGAATTCATTGTCTATATACTATACTGACTGTCAGGCTGCCCTGTATCGTATTACGATACATGTATGGTCAACCTGCAGTATCCAGCATGCACCTCATCCACAATGTTAAACTTCCGTGGCCAGCCGGCCATACTCTAAGGTTAATTAGGGTTAATTACACGCATGCAGCTGACCTGTACATGGCTGTGCTGATGGTCATGATAATAAGCTGCTGATATTTCATGTATATTGTCAGCACTGTGATTTAGATTTAGATAACACAACTTTAACTTAACTCAGAGAATATACAAACATGTCTATATTTCCCGATAAAACCCATACCCCATCAAAGTGCCTACGACATACGCCCTTTCTGTGAAGAAGGACGTGTCCCACGTCCTTATAGGCATTGTGAATGAGGTAGCGATTAAGTTACAAAATACATTAGATACATTATACGTCACCTATACGAAAAGTTATGATATTGTTTCAAATTGCCAAATAACATCACAGGTTAGCTGATGTGACAATAATTACACAAATTCCTCAGTAGTAGGGATAAGCTCTATAATACCGACATTCTGAAAAAGACACCCTGATAATCGCAAAATTGAAAACATGATTTCAGCTGAGGTTTGCTGACAGGAATATCGACATAAGAATGACAACATTTGTGTGAAGATTTGTATAGGACATATAAAGATTTGTGTCGTGGAACCATTTTTCTGTTTTTCTTTTAAAACAATAACATAAATGACAGAATAATTTGCTTGATTAAGCTTAAGTAGCGCTGTATTACAAATACATTCAAGAAATTCAGGTGAAAGATTGCATGTTTCGGCGCACATTTTATGCTATGCATGGACAACAAATTCCTAAATATTAGTCAAACTTAGATACAATATAAACATGAAACTCTTCTTATATTTGAAGACACGCACATACACACACACACTCACACACCTCAACAGTTTGTCAATTCTCTTTCCCTCACACACTCTCTCGCTCACACACACGCGCACGCACTCACACTATTCATATCATACTTATTTTAACACACACACTCACTCACACACCTCAACATTTTGTATCCTTCTAGCAATAAAATAAGAGTCAATTTGCTCTTTCCCTCACACACTCTCTCTCACACACACATGCGCACTTTCTCACCCTATTCATAGCATACTTATTTTAACACACACACTCACTCTCTCTCTCGTCTGTTCTATCTCGACATCAACACTCTTTCCCATTCTTTCTCGCCTTCTCTTTCTTTCTCTCTCTGTCGCTCTCGCTCGCGCACACACACGTTCTCATGTACTCACGTCACACCATTCAAATCAAACTTAAACTCTCCTTGCATTTTAACACACACAAACGGTCTCTCGCCTGTCTCTCTCTCTGCCACACATACTCATACACACTCTTGCGCGCGTAATTCTTCTCTCTCATGTTCTATCTAAAATACCAGTCAACAACAGCCCCTCACTCACTCTCACGCACGCACACACACACACACACACACACACACACACACACACACACACACACACACACACACGCACACACACACGCACACACACGTTCTCATCTACACTCGTCACACCATTCTAAACGCACTTTCAAGTCCTATTAACATCATATCAACAACACAATTAGATATATATCAAAAACATCATATTCCAGCTTATGGGCACAACACTACCATGACAAGCAAAGCATGGCAAATCAATCTCAGACATATTTCAAACACATCTTTCAACACCAAACATTAATCAAACAACGGCCCATAAATACATCCATATATGCTTCAGTACATATTGGAAAGCGGTTGCCAGGAATACAGACAATTCCTTTGATGGAACATAGACACACAGGTGTATGCTGCGATAGAGAGCATACAGAACAGGGGCATGAAACGGAACACATTTACAAAGAAGGTAATAAGCGGTGTCGGAAATAAGTTGAGGGGGTGGAGGCGACACTCTTGGGGACTGAGATGGTATAACCCACAGTGGATGCATTTGAATGGATGTCTGTGGGCATGATACACTGGGGGTGGGATGGGAGGTGGTAGGACGGGGAAAACTGGGTGATGGCAGAGGGAAGGAGGGGGTTGGGGAATGCATTGCTGGGGGAGGGTTGAAAGTCATTAGTTGGCTTCTGCTGCCCTTCATGTAGTCTGTCCAGCTTAACTTTAATGGATGAGATGAGAGACATGATTCCCTCCACACCAGACATTTGGTATGTGTCCTCTGCTACCTGGGCACTTTCTATCATATCGGACAAAGTGTCATGGCGTCTGGTGGCAATAAATTGAACGATATGAGGAAGGGAATTTCTGAAAATGAGGTCTTTTATGAATTGGTCATCGTTACATTTCAAAAGGGATGCCTCATGCCGAATTGATTGAAGAAATAATGGAAAGTCCTCATGCTCTTTTTGTTTCCTGTCGATAAGGGCATCTGTACGGTTTATAATTTGGATAGATGTGGGGCCATACCATTTGAGAAAAGATTGTTTGAGTTCGGGCCATGTCATATTGTCTTTACAGGGAAGTCCTTCATACCAAATCAGCGCAGATTCCGATAAATATAGGGGGAAAACGTTAATGATTTCTTCATCAGCGAAATTTTGAATATTAACAAATTTCTGGAATCTGCTTAGCCAGGAAGATGCAGAGCGGGGATCATGTCCATCAAACAGTGGCATTGGGAGGGTTGTGCAGCAGACATGGGGTTGGGAATGGTCAGCGGGGCGTTCTACGGGCGGGGAGGAACATTGAGGGGGAGAGCAACAACGGTTATCACAGTGGGATTGTGAATTCGACATGGGTGATTACCGGGACTAGAGGTGGTAGGCTGAGGGAGGCTGATGGAGAGACTGAGCAAGTGGCGGTAGTTGTACGTTTAGACTTTCGGAGGACCTCCAGGGAAAAACAGGATGGACTGGAGGACCCGTCGTCAGATTGAGTAGATTTAAACGAAAAGAGAGGCATTGTACTTTAAAGAATGAACTAAATGGTATAAACACTCACCCTGTAGGATACAATCGTGGAAAACACAGAACAATTACAAATTCACAGAACAAAGCACAGTCCACTAAAAGTCACAATGTCAATAACACATGGTAGATGAGGTGACCTCTTCGTCTTGGAATCAGTCTTTGAGTTTCTTTTACACAGACACAGGATATGGAAGAAGGAGGACGTCGTACAGGTGTTGCTTGAATCTGTGCACAGTGGAGCGTCAACGGACCAGTTCTTGTTTTACACCGGCGTTCCATGAAACACTATCACTTTTTTGTAGTTGTAAACGATGGATCTCCAAAGCGTCCAAAATGCAAATTGTTACTCAGTTGACAAGCTGGGTGGCTGGCTGTTCTCGTAGACTTAGCCTGGTGGTGGTGCCTGTTTGACTTCTGTTGTGATGTGGACCCAGGATGGATGAATCTCGACAGATATTTGCTGAAAACTTCTTGCAGAGAGGTTCAGGATCTTGTCTCCACCAATATATCCCGGGCTGGTTAACGCGTTTTGGGGATATTGTCTCTTCAAACACAAAGTCCATCAGTGGGTCCACAACACTTTATTCGTCAGCTAAGTAAGTAATTACATGATAGTGCAGCAACGGCCAGGCAGCATCACAGAGGCGATCGTCAGCCCACCTCCTAGCCGCTGTCCGAGGGTCAAGTCCCGTTCCATTAAGAATTCATTGTCTATATACTATACTGACTGTCAGGCTGCCCTGTATCGTATTACGATACATGTATGGTCAACCTGCAGTATCCAGCATGCACCTCATCCACAATGTTAAACTTCCGTGGCCAACCGGCCATACTCTAAGGTTCATTAGGGTTAATTACACGCAGGCAGCGGATCTGTACATGGCTGTGCTGATGGTCATGATAATAAGCTGCTGATATTTCATGTATATTGTCAGCACTGTGATTTAGATTTAGATAACACAACTTTAAACTTAATTAACTCAGAGAATATACAAACATGTCTATATTTCCCGATAAAACCCATACCCCATCAAAGTGCCTACGACACAAGTCTTCTCGCTTAGATTCCAGATATCCACCGTGCTTTGATTACTTCACAGTAAACATAGAAATATGGATAGCAACCTGTTTTCACAGTACAGCCAAAGACGGTTCATATTTATTCGACATCTTTAGTGAACATGTATCAGTTTCAGGTTTCAGGATAGCTTGACAGACACGTGAACGGCTTGGGGTTGAGTGAGTGAGTGAGCAATATTCCTGCTATATGGCGGCAGTCTGTAAATAATCGAGTCTGGACCATACAATCCAGTGATCAACAGCATGAGCATCGATCTGCGCAACTGGGAACCGATGACTTGTGTCAGCCAAGTCAGCGAGTCTGACCACCCGATCCCGTTAGTCGCCTCTTACGACAAGCATGGGTTACTGAAGATCACGGGTTCGGCTTGGGGTTGAATTGTGCACTCTCTAACGTGCAAGCTAACTAATAATTCCTTACATGGACAGACATGCTTAATTGTTACTGTGCACATCCCCACTGTGTGCAAGGTAGTTCGATGGTTGTTTTGTTTCTTGTTTAACGTTGGCCTGTAAATAATCGAGTTTTGGGGGCTGAATAGTGCACTCCGATCACGTTAGTGGCCTGACCCGTGAAGATTCGGGTTAGAATTGTTCTTCAGCAACCCATGCTTGTCGTAAGAGGCGACTAACGGGGTCGGGTGGTCAGGCTCTATGACTTGGTTGACACATGCCTTCGTTTCCGAATTGCGCAAATCGCTGCTCATGCTGTTGATCCCTGGATTGTCTGGTCCAGGCTCGATATTTACAGCCCGCCGCCATATAGCTGGAATACTGCTGAGAGTGGCGTTAAACAACCAACCAACCAACCAACCGTTACTGGCCTCTTACTACAACCATTGGTTGCTGAAAAACAATTCTTACACTGGCCTTCACGGGTGGGTAGTTCGATGAAGTAACAGAAGATCTTCATGAGGGGGCGGTGGGGTAGTCTAGTGGTTAAAGCGTTCGCTCGTCACGCCGAAAACCCGGATTCGCATCCCCACATGGGTACAATGAGTGAAGCCCATTTTCTGGTGTCCCCCGCCGTGATATTGCTGGAATATTGCTAAAAGCGGCGTAAAACCAAACTCTGTCAGTCAGTCAGTCTTCATGAGCACCAAATCAGATAGCTAAGACAGATTTTACTGCCACTTCCATCAGTGAACTAATTCGACAGTAATCTTTATCGGTAATTGATTTTATCACTTCAAGCAATCTACATCTGGAATATGTTGAGTACAAATAACGGCTTATCATGAAAACATGAATAGGTCAAACTTGTAAGTTACAGAGTCCATTCCATGCTTTTACATCAACAAGCTGGGGCGGAGGAATGTCCCCATTTCCCATTTCCATTCCGTCGTGGAACAATAACACACTATTCTAATCTCAGTTTTGCCCGCCGCTGCTGAAATCTGTACATCCCGATGTGACAAAAAACACTCTTACACCTGCACAGTCATAGAAAACATACGTCAGCTTGACCTTCATCTATATGCATTTAAAAACTTTTCGAAGCAAAGCGACTGGATCTACACCATGACATCATTTTATTGGACTATTATCTCGTGATATACATGTTGAATTGTCGTAATATAAGTTACAAAGCTGGTTAAAAGAATTTTTGCCCTGTCCGCTCCTTTTCTTGAAGCTTGAAGAGGTCGAAGATGAGAAACGAAATAAAACACACATTCCGATAAACATCAGCTAAGGGTGCTTTTTATGTTTTAATTTCTTAAACCTGAAGACAAATTATGTTTTAAAGTAGGCCTACTTTCGGGAACAGATAACTAGAAAATAGTCAATCCCCAGAACAATCGATATATCGTTAAACACTACATATTATTGTGGTGAATTTGAGACACCCTGATACGTGCAACAAGTTTTAATTCTTGAAACAAACTGTTTGTATCATTCCCCGAAGGGTTGTTGGGGTATAACATGTATCTTACATTCGGCACCACCCGTGTCTTTCCGTAACGCTCCGTAATGACAATTATAAACGTATACCTTTGTGAGATAGCGTTGGGTATTCACTCTACTGCTTGAAATACTGCATTCCGTCGCAAAACATGCTCTCGTTTAATATACAAATTCACCCCTTTGTCGAATGGTACAGCCCAAATAGAAAATTAGCGCTCGGGCGTGGCACATCGTAAGGCCTTTTGGATTTTATGGATGTGGCATGAACCTGCAAGATATGATTGTGTCAGAATTCGAGACTGTGGAAAACCCATGGATTGATGACTATTGTAATAAATAAACCATAGCCATCATACTAACGAAGGTAAGTTCGCAGTATATCGTTCACTATCCTAAACAATACAGGTTGTGTTTTAATAATTTCATTATTGTATCTACGGACAACATTGAATTGTCGTCTGTTTTGCAAGTATGTTAAAATTCACGTTTCAAGCCTCTATATGAATGAAGTACAGTGGTTGGTCAGACTGCTGGTGTAACGTGACTGCCAAGGACGATTTTACGAACGATTCGTTCACAAGTGCCAAGCGCTATGCCACTGAACATTATCCCGTTTCTATTTCTTTAAAGATTTCAGTTTTTCCGAACTTTTGTATTGATAGTTGGATTAAGAATATAAGAAATGGGCAGTATGTTATTTTCGAGACCCGGGCGGGGCACAATGTATGAAGCCCATTTCTGGTGTCCCCCGCCATGATGTTGCTGGAATATTGCTAAAAGCGGCGTAAAACCAAACTCAGTCAGTCAGTCTTAATATAATGTCTGATGTTTGAAATAAATAACAGTGGGACTTAGACTGTTTCAAGGATTTCAAATTTAGTCTGCAGTTGTCTGTGACAAATCAGTTGTGTTGTATATGTTTTGCATACCACCGTTATGTTGTTAGTTGTTTAGATATAGTTTTAATGAAACCCCTACATTCATAAAATGTGTTGGAAAATTGGTAGCGTTAATGAAGGGGAGACACTGAATTGACTGATGGTGAAAAAAAATTCAGCCGGGAGGTTATCATATAAACGGCAGACACAATAGTGAAACACATAAATATGCCATTGAAGGGAGGAACAGAGAGAGAGAGACACTACAACAGTGTGTATGTGGGATGCTGCCTAGCCTACTCTACTCTTCACCTGCAACAGGGCGATGGGTTAGCCTAGTGGTTAAAGCTTTCGCTCGTAATGCAGAAAAAACGGTTCGATTCCCCACATGGGTACAATGTGTGAAGCCCA